TGACTTTGAGACCTTGCCTTGTTGGGGAGTGTCACAAGCCCACAGTCCCTTATGGCTGCTATAGGTTCAGGGACTCTTTTTAAAGCCAGAAATCCCTGTTATGATCCTCTCACCTGATCTCTTGAATAATGCCAGGTTGGGAACCTCATGCGGCAATTTCTGGCTGAGCTAAAACATCCCTTCTAGGAAGTCATCTAGTCCTGACTTGGGGACTGTGAGCAATGGACACCCCAGCATGTCAATGGGCAATCGCCGCAGCACAGCAGCCTCCCGTGCTGCCCAGGTCACCTTCCCCATGGCAGGGCTTGGCTTCAAAGGCACAAGAGCTTTTCATCTGAGCTAATGGAGAAGCAGCCTGGAGCTGGGGCTGTTCACAGTGGTGACAGGACAAGGAGCAATGGGCTCACGCTGCAGCAAGGAAAGTTGAGGTTGGATATTAGGAAAAACTTTCTCACTAGGAGGGTGGTGAAGGGTTGGACCAGGTTACCGGGAGAGGTGGTGCAGTCTCCGTCCTTGGAGGTTTTTCAGATGCGGCTAGACGGCTGGGATGATGTAGTTGGGGCTGCTCCTGCTTTGAGCGGGGGGTGGGACTGGATGTGACCTCCTGAGCTCCCTGCCAACCCCAATTTTCTACGAATCTATGTTAACCCCATTGGCGTATGGTGCAAAGCTGGATGGTTCGCATTCACCAGCAGAGGATGGTCACGTGCACACTTGCTCACTAGCACATGTGAATACGAGGGCTTGTAGCATTCTTCTTCCTTATGGTAGTGAAGTCTTGGAAGGGCAAAACTCACTTGGGGCTGGGTTTATCCATGAAGGGACCCGGAAAGCGAGCGAGGCCGGCTGTTCCTGGCCTCGCGGGAAACGCAGTGCTGCTCGGCGTGCAAAGGGGCCCCGTTCCCCAGGGCTCGTCAGCTGGCAGGCAGGTGAGACCCGGCTGCCCTCCGAACAAACTGGTATTTCGAGGCTTGGCAAAAGGAGAGAACAGGAGGCCTTTCTTGTGGTCTGAGGTTGCATTATAGCGAAGACTCTTGGAAGGCGCAGCGGTGTTGAATGCTTTTTGATCGCTCTTCCCGAAGAGCGATATCATAGCCAGAGATTAGAAAGTGGTGTTAAATCATAGCCTCGGATTTGCGCGTCTGCCCTTTCCAGACAAGCGCGGGGCTGGGTGTGCGCTAATCTCTGCAGGAAGCTTTGTGCGCGCGGCTCCCATGGGGATTCATGTCAGGGATGTGGCGAAAATCCAGCAGGGTTTTTTATGTTATTGAGAACACAACAGAGCATTGGGATTTCCAGGGTTTAAATGTAGCTGCTGTGGAGGGGGCTGACTGGTGGCTCTGGAAGTGGAGTCACGCACCGTGTTGCCCCTGCCCGGGTTTGCCAGTGTTGACCCCCAGGTCTGGCCGGCAGAGAGGGGCTTGCTCCCCACGCCATATCCACCCATCCTGGGCTTTTCTGCTGAGGATGCCCATGAAAGTGCCAATGAATAGCAACGGCAATGATGGCTTGAGTCCATGGACCTTCAGACTGTCTGAATTTAGGGCCCAGCAGCCCTCCAGCAGCTGTGTCCTGGTGCGTGGATGCTGTATTCGGGGACCCAACTGGTTCATTAGGAGAAGTTCCCATCTCTCCATCCTTTGCTGCCCACTCTTGTAATTCTGGAGTCACAGGGCGAGTGACTCTGGGTTGACACTCAGGACCTTGCCCTGTATGCTTGATTCAGGAGGTGCCCCACAACACAGCGGCCGACGGCTAAATCCAGTTCTTGCACTAATTTCTATCCCAAGCAGCCTCCTGCATGGGATGGTATCCATCACGCGTCCTTTCCTTTTTATCGGTGTTACAGTGGCATCTAGAGTCTAATGTCAATGAAACATAGCGTTACAGTAGAATCGAGTGCCCCGGCGCGGGATCAGGACTTTGCTATGCTGGGATGTCTCGAGCCAGTGTAACGAGGTCGCAGCCCCAGGCAGATGAACCCCTCGGAGAAGTGAGGGATGGGTTGGTGTTGGGGGGTGGTAAATAGGCGACGCAAGTCAACCTAAGCTTGGCAGATAAGAAGAGGGTGCAGCTCTTGCCAGCACCTGGGGAAGGGGCTCTGAGGCTGGCAGCCTCCCTCTCTGGAGGTGCCTGCTCTTGAGGACTAGTCCCCAGGCATCGCTGTGCACATGGGAGAAAGGGCTTGAGCCTGAAGCCGATGCGAGCGAGCAGGATGGCCAGTACAACGAGGGGGGGTTGGCAGGCCGGACTTATCCCACCTTAGTGCCCGTAGCCGTAGACATTGAGGTGGACAGAGCCGCTCATGTCTTTACCTTTGTCCTTCTACTTCCGCAGGAGCCTGATGCCGAGGACGCTGGAGGGGCAGATCACTATGGAGAAAACCCCGAGTTACTTCGTGACCAAGGAGGCACCGAAACGCATTTACAACATGTCTCGGGACACCAAGCTGATCGTGGTGGTGCGCAACCCGGTCACCAGGGCCATCTCAGACTACACGCAGACCCTCTCCAAAAACCCCACCATCCCCAGCTTCCAGGCCCTGGCCTTCAAAAACATCAGCACAGGACTCATCGACACCACCTGGAGCGCGGTGCGGATTGGCATCTACGCCAAGCACCTGGACAGCTGGCTGCAGTACTTCCCCCTTTCCAAATTCCTCTTCGTCAGCGGGGAGAGGCTCGTCAGCGACCCGGCTGGAGAGATGGGCCGGGTCCAAGACTTCCTGGGTCTCAAGAGAGTCGTGACGGACAAGCATTTCTATTTCAACGAGACCAAGGGCTTCCCCTGCCTGAAGAAACCAGAAGGCAGCAGCCGGCCTCGCTGCTTGGGGAAGTCCAAAGGACGCCCTCATCCCAAAATCGACGGGCAAGTGGTCCAGCGCCTGCAGGAGTTTTACAGGCCTTTCAACATGAAGTTCTACCAAATGACGGGGCAGGACTTTGGGTGGGATTGAGCCCTTCCCAGGCTGGTCACGGTATAAACCACGGGGGGGTGAAGTAGACTTAGTCCACTTAGCAGCTCTGCGAGGGCCACGGCACATCCTGTGCACTGCCGCGAGGGATACTACGCTAGGGCGTCCCTGGCGAGCCTTCAGAAGACTTTTCCCCTTGTTCTAATTTATATGGGACGTCTCCCTGGAGAGACACGTACACTTACTGAGTAGAGAGAAATATTTAAGAAATAATAATAATAATAATTAAAAAAAAAAAAAAAAA